TACCAACCCGCCCAAAACTCACCCCCATTGCAATGTCAACCTGTTTGAAGGTGGAATCCAGCCTCAAATGAGGCTGTGATAACAAGGGGGAGGAAAAAACGTAAACAGAACTCAAATGAAAAGCAAACAAACAGCAAAGGAACACAACAAACAAATCTCTGTAGACAGATTCAAGAACAGACTTTGAAACAAGGCACTTACAAATTCACAGTACACATGAGGCTTGCAGTCATTGCAAAACCTTTCCACGGATGGTGCAGGTGTGGTGACAGTCACCTCCCTTCAACCCAGCTGGTGCAATACCAGTTACCTGCGTGCCTCTCACACACTGCTTTCCTAAAATCCACACGGGATAACAGAATGGTGCTGGCTTGCTGCAATGAGTACTCACACCCCGTGCTGGAGTGAGGGGGATGCTCTAGGGGGCTTAGCACAGCCACAAAGGGGAAGCCCTGAGAGATGTCATCCTTGAAAAAAAGGCTGAGCAAAACCAAAGTACATGATCAAGAAAGAGCAGGACACAATACAGCATCCCAGAATCGCAGAGGGAAAAGAGAATGAGGGTCCTGAGCATAGGAGACCCCAAATAGCATTCACTGCAGGATCCTTTCTTGGCTCAAAGGCATCAAATTAGTCTTTCCCCTGGACTCTTCCACCTGAATGATGTGAGGAAAATAATATTGCCTTAAGAAGCTGGAAACATATAGCTAACTCAGAAGGAGCAGGATGAGTAAAAGCAGGACCTCTAAGAGCAGTAGAGGGACACTGCAAAGGACTTCTGAACAGAGAGAATGCCTTCCCCAGGGGAGCTCCAGCAAAAAATGAAAAAGCCTGGAGAGAGAAGGTGCCTGGCCACTGTTGGCTCACAGCAGAGTCCTGAACAGCACCTCTGTCACAGTGCTGGACCTGGGGAGGCAGAGGCAGGCAGGCTGGTGTCCCAGGGCTGGTGAGCACAGGATATGTGACCCCACGTGTCAGCTTGAATCAAGGCAAGGAGTGCCACTGGGTCTCCCTGCCCAGCACTCCCCTTCTCTGGACCTGGAAGGAGGACTGGGGCTGTGCAATAAGCCCAGCTGTCAGATCCTCCTACATCATCTGCAAAGCCATCGACCCTCTTAGGACCTTTGGGAGGGAAAAAAATAAATAAGACCCAGAACACATACTTACAAAGAGCCTACCCTATTTTTGGTTATAAGATTTCACTGTGCTTCTGCTGTTCAGGAAAGGGTCTCCCTCAGAGATTGCAAATGCAAAGTGGGGAAAAATGGCAGAACGGATACAGGTTTTGAGGAAAGAAAGTACAAAGGGACATCTTCCACTAAGATGGAAAAGAAAAGTGCAAACCCAGCAAAACCTCTGGCTCCCTGACGTGCTATCTAAGGACTAGGGCCAGAATCTGTGTTTATGGAATATGAACCTGATAACTGAGGTTTACAGGAAAACCTCCCACAGTGCCTTAACACGGTTCCATAACAACCTCCCTGGCTAGAGAAATCTGCACAGAAGGGTAAGAACTTCCTGTGCCTCCTTTATTTGCTATTTTATTTCTAGAACTGGGAACCAGTACAGAGTTTTGCTTATCAGTTCATGTTTAGGAAATGTACTGACTTCAAGTATATCAATCTGCAAGATAACTAGTCTCTGGATTTCAGCTTAAAAGGAAACCTTTACAAAACATCAGCTCAACAGGGCGAGTTTCTCAGGATGCCTAGCTTTAAATGCCAGGCACACATTTCAAGTCTAATATGATTCCATATATACATTAAAATCTGCTTCTACACAGCTTTATAAATAGTTTTAGGGCACATATTTGGTATGCTTAATTCACTTCTCTATTGTGTTTTAGTACCTGGCAGAATCTGAGTATAAACATTTAATTTAATTTATTGCTATATATAATAATTCTATAAAATCCCTTTCTAAGCCAGAGTATCAGTGTCACTCTCATCTGTGAAACTCCTTGCTATTGTGAGTAACCATTTTTAAACACAGGTTTAATCTTCAGTTAGCCGAGCTAACGTCTCAGCTATGTCTGGAATTATTCTGTACAAAGAAGGTGTAAACATTTGCATAAAAATCATGTAGTCACATCCAAATTGTTGGATTGAAAGGAGGTGTAAAAGCAGCAGTTAACAGTGCTTCATATAGGGAACTAATTTTACAACAGCCCTGAATTAAAAAGCGGGTGGGGACTAAGGAGTGTCTTGATGAAAAATGCTGATTCAAGGCTTCATTTCTATTCAGTGATGTACAGTGTCATTACTGGGTGGCTGCACAGAGCAGTGGCTCAGAGTAATTACCCTGTAATGCACACTGACACTAATGTACTAGTAAACTACTGCAGTTTATACTCTATTCACCACCAGCGTCAGGACTCTGAAAGGCAGGTAAAAATCCCCTGCATGCATAAACAATGTGTGTAAATGTCACCAGTGATAAAGTTTTTAAAAAGGAGAAGGAAGAGGCAGTTACAAATAAATCTGTCAGCTGAGAATTGCAACTGCATAGACCCACAGGAGCACTAAAGCTGTATCTTTTTTCGATAATACAGGAAGGAAAGATGCTTCTCTTAAAGCATACTACCCAGGTTCTATTTCCGTTTATTACAATTAAAACTGTATGGTGGATGCTTCTTTTTGCCACTCTAAGTGCAAGGTTGACCAGCACCTGGTGTTCAGCTTAGGGCAAGGGGAAGCATGGAGGGAAAATGAAGAACATTGAAGGAGTAGCCACAAGCATTAGTGATTTATGCTGACTGTCATAATGCTGCTCTGGTTTTAGAGATCCAGCTACAGGAAATGTGGAGGAACACAAGCTTAAGGACAGGTGTTTTTGACTCCTTTGTTTAAAACAGCTCTTATGGCTATGGGATGAAGCTTGGAACATGACCCAAGCATGTCCTAAGGTGCAAGAAAAAGGAGACAAACAAAAAGGACTCATAAGCCTAATATACTTAGGGAAAAAGGAAATATTACAATACTTTAACGGATTTTGGATGCTGAAGCTAGAAATGATGCAGCAGAGCTACACGTCCCACATCACAGGGCCAGAGGAAAAGCCTTGCTCTTCCCCCAGGAGACAGTACCAATTACTATGTTCTTAACAGACACTATTCACCAGCTAAGAGATTGATGCCTCCAGAGCTGGCTTTCTCTCTGGCCCTCTCCTATTAAGTTACACAAGAGTATTCAAGTCCTTTTACCAGCACACAGCAGCAATAGTATCAATCCTTCCATCATGAGCAGCTTCTTCTTTAAGATATCTCAGCTAGGGGGGTGGAGGCCTTGGTGAAAGCTGTCAGTGCAGCAGTTCATGCTGGATAAACTCTATTTTACCCTCTCTGCAAGCACTGCAACTGTTCTGCCTGACCCACTTTGCCCTGCTCCTGGTGGCACTGCCATTTATCTTGCTGAGGTAGCTCTGCCCTCATGAAGGGCAGATCACTGAAGTTTTGTTAGTCATTAGCTCTTTCAGCTTGGAGAAAGCAAGACACAGGTTCTCTGTCTGCTGCTGTTCTGGCATCCTTCAATCTTCCATAGTCTGTTTAGATGCCAAGGCAAGGATTTACATTGACCTATTCTAAGTAAGCTCTGATTCATCACCTCAATGACAGACTAGAGCAAGAAGGTCCTGCAAGTCATAACTGTCTCTGCCTCACTAGAGTGCTCTGCTATAAAAGCAAGGTAGTAAATTTTACCACAGAACTGGAGGTTTTCAAATGACTTAGAAAAAGCTGATGGTCTCAAATGCACATGTCAAATCCCAGGGTAGTTCACTTAAGGCACAATGGAGGTTGTGGACTGCCAGGAGATTGCACTCAACCAGCCCGACTAATGGCAAGACCAGATTTGGAGAGAGGACTGTGAATCTGGCATCCTCACACCAGCCGGGCTCCACCTCACATTTTTCAGTTAAGAGCAGTTAGAGAAACACGTGCAGGCACAAACACACAGAATGCTGACAATCACCACACAGGTCAATTTGGTACTCTTTGAAGAGTGGGAAAAGGGGAAAAACCACAAACTTAAGGTATAGAATATATCTCTATGCTATTACACTTAAGCTGTCCTCTTCCTCCCCTTCTCTTCTTCCACAGCATTCCCTGGGTTTGATGTTCATACACACTTGCAGAATTGACCAAGAAATCCCTTCATATTCTTGTTTGATTTTTGCTTTGCTATTATCTATTCCAAGAAGAATAGATATTTACTTTGATATTGAATATTGACTAGCCTAACCAAAAGGAGCAAAGGGAGGGGTAAGAAGTCTGCACCACCACATATGCTTGCTTTGTGGACAAGCTTATTTCCCCAGGCCTCAGAGGCAAACACTGGGGGCTCAGCACTAGGGAATGATCCTCTAAATGGGGCAGAGAAATCAAGGGCTTGCATACATATTGCTTTATTTGCACCATTCAAGACAGGCACCTGTCTTAACAGGGCTATTCTGGACTTACTCTGTACATATTGACTACTAGCATCACTCCCAAGGACAATTAGCCCACTTAAAATTTGAGTAATCCTATATTGAACATTTCCTCACCAAGTCTAGAAAAACCCTCAAGTAACAGCAATGAGGACTGAATCCAGGCTTGAAAACCACCGTACAACACGTTCTGTACCCTTTACTCACCTGAGGGGCAGCTGAAATCCCTTTTGCATTCTGCCACCAGCTCCCTGTGCCTTTGCACTGCCAATAGGAAGGAAAGGTGCAAGACACAAGGCAGGACCTAAGGTGTACCTGTCTCTGCAGGAGTAAACTAGTGGAGAGAGCAAACCACCCTGTGAAGTGATGGGATGTTCAAAGCTATGTAATGGGACACATGGGACACGCTCATCTCACATATGTCTCTCCTGCAGGAATTAATTTTCTCCCCAGAGTGTCCTCGGATGGAGGGTGACAGCTTGGCCATGGAGGCTCAGTGATCAAGTGAGTGATATCCACCCAGGCCTGTGGCTGGTTTGGAATGTGAGTGAATGGAGACTGTCCCACTGACTCACCCTTGGATGGCGGCCTCTCCAGATCCGAATCCAGGTGGATTGGTGGGGCAATATAGGAAACCTGCCCATGGTGAGCCTGCCCTGTGGACAAATAAGTGGTTTAGTTCTGCTGTTTCCTACAGAGATCTATCAGGGCTATAGTCAAATACACAGCATTTGGACCAAAAAAAGGTTTGCATGTATTTTGTTCTGTGTGTTTTTCACAATGAACTTCCATTTTGTGGAGGTACCTGATGACAAGCTGAAACCACTTCCATCTCTCACTTTTCCTTGCAGACACGGGTACTCTGGTAAACTTTAGTTACACCTGCTTTACCACTACTACATGTACTTTATACCATGTTCTCTTGAAACCTGTTCTCTCTCTCTCTCTCTCTCTATATATATATATATACATGTATATGCTATGGAAGAGAACCCAATTTCACACAAGCCTATTCAATCTGTTAATCTCACTTTAAGAGGGAAACAAGCATTCCTACGCCACAGCCATTTTGAAGGAAGCATGGTATGAAGCACAATCCCACCTGTTTGTCCCACCTGCAGGAGATACATGTTTCATTTCTCAGAGCTCAGCACTGCTTTCACATGAATGGAAGATTTTTTGGCTGCCAACACCATCATGCAGTTTCTCAGTTGCTAAAGACTCAATCCTTCTCCAGTAATTTGGAGGTAGCTATATCAAGAAACTTCTATTTATAATAAAAACAGTTTTTTATAATTCATCTATTTACTGTACCAATTTACAGGGTTGTTAATCTCTTCTTCTAAACATGGAAAGTTAATGACACATAGATTATGATAACAGTTAGAGTAACCTTCCCATTTCAAGTAATATTCGTTCTGCAATAAAAGCAGTTGATTCCTCTTAAGAGACACATTCCAAATAATTAATACAGCTCCCTGTTGACACTTGCTGTTGTTGCTCCAAGCAATTTCCAAGCTAGCGTCACAGGCAGAGGAGCAGCAGTACACTCTTCAGGCTTCTTTGTAATGACATCCAGGAATACCACAAGCACAGTATGCTGGTGCACATAATATCTTGAAAACATCTCTTCAGGGAGATAAAATATTAATGAGAAAGGGGAGAGAAAGAAAAAAAAAAAAAAAAAGAAGTGTGTCTGAATGTGCAGGTTATATTTACTGCTTTACACCGAGGATGACTCAGATAATCTGCATTATTAGCCATTACAACAACTGGACGTAATTCAGGTTTAAAATCTACCGACACATCATAAATTCTGTATTTGCTTTTAAGTGCTTTAACATGGGAAATCTGCTTCAGGCAAACCCATAGCAAATAACAAGTTACTCTGCTTTCCTCTTCTCGTTTACATGTTAAAAACCCATTTGATGTCATTAGTGAGCAAAAGTCATCATTTAATAGCTGCTTGGTTCCGCAGCAGAAACAGACAGTCTGCTCTCACTCCAAGCTGCTCAATGTGCAGGATGATCAGTGCCCTTACAACCACAGAACAGTCTCCCCATTTGCTGCATCAAAGATACCACTGAAATGTAAAATAGCTGAGCTTGGCAGGAAACTCTGGAAATCACCTAGCCCAGCTCAAGGGCAGCAAGAGCCCACAGCAAGTGTCCAATCTGATTTCTGATATCTCTAAGGATGGAGACTCCACAATTTCTCTGGGCAATCTGTACCAGCGTTTTGCCACCCTCATAGGAAAAAAAAAATAGAAAATCTTTTCCACTATCTGCTTGTAAGAAGAGCCTGGTTCCATCTCCTTTATTCCCTGTCATCGTGTACTTATATACATCAGTAAGATCCCTTGGATGATCTGGTCCAGGCTGGATACTCACAGCTTTTCAGCCCATCCCCACAAAGAGATGCTGCAATCCCTTTATCATCAGTATGGTCCTTTGCTGGACTTGCTCTGGGCACACTGCTGACATTTGGTTTTTGGTTTGTTTTTTATTTGATTAGTTTTTTTAATCACTTGGTCTTCCTGGGTGCAAACCAAAAAAAGAATTATTCTGGAAGCTTAAAGGGCTAGGCTGAAGTAAAGAAGATACATCCACATTACACGAAAGACTAAAAAACATCTGTTTGTTTAGACATTCATTACAATTCAGTAATAACTATGGAATCTTATTATTGCCTTATTAAGGCTTTTACTTTATATGGAGGAAGCAGTAGCATCAAGTGCTCTCTAGTGATAAATGAAACAAGTTGCAGAAAGCTTTTATCTCTTTGCTGCTGATGCAAAACACAGTACTTCTAAAAAAAAAAAAGAAATCGAACTTCTGTTACTACTACTACTACATACTACTACTGAAAAAACAGATTTCTGTTAGACTGCACACTTCTTCCAATGCTAATAAATTAAACTTTGGGTTTTAATATTCCTTCTCCAAAAAAAGCAATGCAAACAATTGCTGTGATTCATTTTTTGGGCATGAACGCCAGCTCACTTGTTCTTCAGAATCATCAGAGTGTTCACACTAGAGAAACAAAGGGTCTCCACTGTTACCTTATAAGTAATCAATAGAATCACATTTTTGCTTTGGTTCTACTGTTATTGCCTATACATTTTTGCTTTGGTTTTACTACTGCTGACTTTTGAGACAACTGAGGGAAGGGAGGCAAGGGGAGGTGTCTGAAGCAAGGCCTGGCAATGGGACTGGTAGACAAGCACATGGTCTTCTTGGCTATAATGGCATTAAAAGTGCTGCCACTTACTCAATTGAAAACCAAACTTTTACCCATTGGACCTATGAAAGGTTTTGAGACTGATATTAGTGGTACAGCTGAAGCTGATCTCAAAGACTTGCAGAACGAGCTTTCCCAAGTGAGGCAGACTCCAGTCCCTGTGGAGTGAGTTTTGCAGTTTCAGATGCTTACTGCAAGCCCCAGCCCTAGGAATGAGGGACTCCTATCTCCCTCTCTTCAGTTCCAGTTGCTGTAGAAAAGCACTTTAAAAGATAGATGTGAGAGCCTTAAAAAAGTAAAATAAAATAAAAGGCAGAAACACTCCAACACTCCACACGCCTGTCTCTCCAATCCTTCAGCTGTTTTCTCTGTACATGAAGTCTGAGCTGACAGTGGTGCAGGAAAAAGAAAGAAGACTTCTGACAAAATACCAAAGGTCAAGATGTCTCTGTTGCTGATGGGAAGTTGAGCACTCCTCGTATCAGAACAGCTTGCATGGCCTTCTCCCAATCCCACCCTGCCTATAACCATCTGCTCTTTCTGCAGCCAGCTTCCAGGTAAAAAAGTAAACAGCAATCAAGTGTAGCCATCAAAGTAATACTTGATGAAGTTGCCAATTTTGTACCTAGCAGCTCAGGTTGTGTTCCATTTCCTTTATCTCTCTTGCCTCTGCTCATGGCTCCCTGCGAGGGCTAATGCTGGAAGACAGCTGTGGATCATCCCTGACCTGCTTTTCTTGCATCACAACACAGGGATGCAGGCCTGGCCAACACTGCCTAAATATCAGCACCATCTCAGGTGAGACAGGGCAAACAGCAGGTGTGGCACAGGGAGCCACAAGCCAGCAGTCTTCACAGCAGCCAGGCCACCTGCATGTGCTGTGACAATGTGAAAAAGAAAACCTCGTGTTTGGTAGAAACAATTTTGGGAGCAACAGGATGGATATGACCTTGGAAGTCTATCTGGTGACATGCCTTCCTCAGGTAGAGGAAACGAGAAAGATGTTTGTGAATTAGAAAAAGTGCTTGAGTGGCCATTATTTTCAGGTCTGACACATGAGAGACACAATGCATTTTAAAAAGCCAATAACTTAGAAGAACAAAGATAATGTTTTGTGAAGACTGAAGGAAACACAGTAACTTGGCCTAAGGGATTTTTTTAAAACTGTTTTTTTAAAAAGGGATCTGGATGCTCATAGACAGAAAATAAACATCCACACATCTTCAAAAATCTGCCCCTAAGTGATTTAGTCATCTACAGATGCAGTGATACAAAACTACAGAAAAAATCTGCAAATGCATGGACTAACCTAGTAAAGTAGCAACAAAGAACTCTCATCTATTTATCTACTAGAATCCCTTCCTCCTAATCCTTTTTGGAAGCATACCCACTGTATGTAGTACCTGAGAGGGCAGGCCTTCCTCCTGATGCTGGGCCCAATTTCCAGTGCTGGTGACATTAGATTCTTCTAGAGTACAATGCCTATTTCATGTGTGCATATGGGAAAATTTTCTGCCTGGCCCCTGCTCATGTTCTACCTGAGATTTTCCAGAGCACTATCAAAGAGAAAACCTGAATAGAAAACATAAGACTGAAAGATTCAAACCCCCAAAATTTACCAGGCTAAAAATAAGGCTTTTTAAAACATTTGATGACTTGTCTCCTAATGCCCTGGTGATGCCAAGAAGATAAATATCCACAGTCACCTGAATGGATGGCTCTCCCTTTTCCCTGCTGCTCCTCTGCTCAGTGCCCATGGTGGGAATGGACACTCGTGGACCTGAACTGCAGTTCTGTCCCACTCCTGACTCAGATCCAGCAGCAGCAGTGAGAAGCCACCAGGAGATAAATTTTTTAAAACAAACATGCTTCACACTCTTTGTTCTCAAGGGATGAGAGTCCCCTTTCTTTGCTGTCCTTATCCACAGGCAATCACTGCAACACATTTTTTTGCTGTCATGTCAGATTACTCATATTTCCACCCATTTTCCAGCCTCTTTTAGCATTCTTTTGTCTTCCACAGGTTCACCAATTCCCAAGATCCCTTTTAGACAACCTAGTCAGCACTTCATGCAGAGGATTTAATTTAATTTCGTGCTGGTATCTCTGATGACCCATGTTCCCAGATACTGCCTCTCCTACACCATTTTTGGTCTGCAGCTCTGAATGCAGGCACCTCCATTGATTTAATCCCTCATCTGTTAGTCCACTTGCTTGGATCATCAATTCGTTAATACTCATGAAACCACGCATTCATTCCTGAGCCTTTGATTTCAGTTTTTCATATACTTTTACTTTTTTTTTTTTTTTTTTAATAGCAATAGGATAGACACATACTAGGTATGCAAAATACATATTCTGAGGAAAAGTCTCGGAAAACATAACGACAATTTTACTAACATCTCCACAGATAAAA